CAGAACCTGGATTCCTTCCATTACTCACGGACAGCAGGCGGCTTGTGAATTGAGTGCCAATTTCTGCTGGTCTTCCTTCTTATGGAGTCAGGAGTCACACAATCCTAATATGGTTTCACAAATTGGGCACTGTTGCGGCTTCACTTCTTGAACGATAGGCATCTGATACAGTATTGCAGGTGGATATTCTGCATCTCGCCTTTCATTTTCCGACCTCATGTATTCTATTACTCTAACTCCTCTATCCTCCCTCCTCGCTCCTCGTCTCTCATCCTCTCCTCTCTCTCTCTCTCTCTCTTAACAGCCTAATGTGAACCTCCTATTTTAGCCAAGGCGTATGCCCTATGGGCTGCACTGTGTTCATCTTCGAAAAAGAAGAAAAAATGAAGAAAATTCAAGAAAGTCTTCATTTCTGCATGCAATATGGAGCTACCATCCACAGAAACGACATGTTTGAGCACAGAATGCCTTCATATAAAAGTCTGACTCATCTTTACAACGACCTTCTGCCTTCCACTCTTGGCATTGCTTTGTATCTCCCTGGTCTATGCACGCCTGAAAAAGGTGGAGTGAAGAAAGAATCCATTGATCAAAGTGTCTTTAGATCTGATCACATTCTTGCAGCCATCACGAACTTTCCTTCCTTATTATCTCCCTACTGGTAAGAGTTCAAAAAAAGAGCACGAATTTTAGAGAAAGACATTGTACCTCAGACTTGTAAAGGCGTGAGAGAGGAGAGTACGACGCGCGCCAAAACAGGTAAACGAATGGATACTTCTGATATAGTGAGTTGATTGCAAGAGCCTTGGGAGCCGGGTCTATTTATACTGCTGAAATAATGTAACCATGACCGCCGTTGCAGGTGTGCTATCATGACTGAAGCACTCCGCAAATATCCGAATATCGCTGCTCCATCTAAGTAGGTAGGCTCCTACGCTCGTCTCGGAGAACGATCAAGCAAAATAGAAACCTCATCACTGCTCTAACTTGAGCTTTTGACATTATATCGAAAATCTAAACTCCTCTCATACCGGAGAAAGTGATCAGCGCAAATAGTAGAAGTCTTTGATCCAGCCACTCAGTGCAGGAACCAGCGCGAACTCTTTGAATTCCAAACATTTCCTCCCTTCGCAACTAATTTTGAAGGAAAAATGAGAAAGATCTTGAAATTCCCAACTGCTGGTGCATGAAGTCGCTAGTTCAAAAAGTAACAATAGCAGAGCTGAGCTCTGTTTCCTTCGACTCAGAGCTGAAGGAAGCTCAGAGCTGAAAGAAACTGGCCGCATGGGAGCGGGTTTGACGAAAGTTCAGCTTTTAGAGCGCTATCTATGCACTGTGGTGTATGCTTTCCATTTTTAGCCTCTTTCTCCTAGACCGGCTCTGGATATTACTTTTGGAACTCAGCGCCTACATGTGTTAGGCAACAACAGCATCCAGATTTCTCTCATTTCTTATATATTGTGTGCTCCACATGAAATACGCTTTGGGGCACGATGGTGCGCTGCTCTAATCATAATAGCAAGGAGCTCCAGTTCTCAACGTAGGGCCAGAAGCTGACATCACTGCACTAAATAGATTTCTTCTGCACTGTGGTCGTTACAGTGAAAGTTACATGGGAAGGCGATATTGGCATATTCGCGGATTGCTATGATAACACACCTGCGATGACACTCATGGTTACACTATTTTAGCAGTATAAATAAACGCGGCTACCAGGGCCTCTCATCACTTCACTGAAGTTCAATATGCTCCTCTACTTGTTTTGTGCGCTCCTCCTCCTCAACGCCTTCACTGCTGAGGTTGGTACAGTTTCCTTACATGTTACATCTGGGCAGGCCCTAGCAATGAAGACAACGGAACTGATGAGCAAGGCTGAAATACCTTGACACTGTACGAACATGACTATGCTTTTCCATATATGGAAGCACAAGCACGTCAAACAAACCCTTTTCACCACTTTATCTTTTCAGGCGTGCATTGACCAGGGAGATACAAAGCAATGTCAAGAGTGGAAGGCAGAAGGCCGCTGCAAAGATGAGTCGGACTTCTACATGAAGGCATTCTGTGCTCAAACATGTCGTTTCTGTGGATGGTAATAATACAGGACATCCAGAAATAAAGTATTTCCCAGATTCATGATAACGCCATTATATTAGTGACCAGTCGGATAGCCCGGCTGACGTCGTGCTCTCCTCCCTTCTCTTTAGCTCGGCTTCGCCGAGCTGGCCTGGCTTGCTAGGCGCACTTCGTAATGGGAACGGAATTTATTCGTTGCTGAGCTGCTCATATTGCTCTATTTCGATCGAATCGTAACAGATAGAGTAAAACAGCGGTTTGCGCAGTCCTAAGTCCATCCTCATGTTTGCAGGAGGAGTATGGTTTTTGCAGTAACGTCCTGCTATAATAGACCTGTAGAAATGGGTAGAAAGTCCGTGGCCCTCCCTCTCATGGACGACTTCTCACCGGGACCCACTTCACACGCGGTGGCCCTCCCTCTCATGGAAAACTTCTCACCGGGACCCACTTCACAGGCAGTCCCATCCCTCTCATGGAAAACTCACCGGGACCCACTTCACACGCGGAAGAAGGATCGGCCAGCTTCGCCGGCCGATCCGACTGGTGTTTGGATATCAGCGAGCGGCACTAGGCAGCACTCAGGTGGGGTGAACGTGCGGTCAGCCTCGTTCATGAGCCATCGAGAAAGTGGTTCTCGCTACAAGGAATTGATGGCAGGACTCTACAGTCCTGCAAGTCGACTGATGAAAGACCAAGGACGCAAACGCAGTTTCCAGAAAATCGAAGACCAGGTTGGTAGTGCACGTAATGCGTCTGGATAATGACCTCTAGAACAGAAGTGAAATGGGGATGTCGAACGGAGATCCTGGACGGTAGTCTGTTCTATGCTCAGACTCCTTCGTGAACGAAGATTATATCATCCTCCGAATGCAGAGAACCCACCGGGCATCTCTATCACGATGCAGGGACGAATCCGCCTATTTGAACAAGTCGACAATCTGCGAAAGCTCAAGTGATATTCTGAACTAGCGCGTACTCAACGGTTTTTCCATTGTCTCGTGGTCACTCAACATCTGATGAATATTGCAACCTAAAGAAAAAACCTCTTCAAAAATACCTCTCCGGTTCTTCACTCATTCTGCAAGGAAGCCATCCAGTCATACCCTCACAAGTGGTCATGCACCACATCCCGTGGGGATTAGTCTGTTGACTGAATGCTTATAAAAGGAGAAGAAGACAGACAAGCAAAAGTACCGAAAATCGGACAAATGCGACAACCTAAAGGAAGCGCTACTAGGAGAGGCAGAGCGAGACCGATCAAGCGCTACCAGTATTCGGTTCACAGCAACTCTCCTTTTGCCTTCATAAATATGATTGCCTTCGGACCCTCCACTATCAACACTGTTCTTTTCAATGTGCACAGGAACTAAGCTTTTCTTTATTGTGCATACTTACATAATAAAATAAGCGTCACACTCGGTCAATATAATGCACATAATGGCATGAGATAAGAAATTACAAGAGTCAATGGCAGCGTATCTGCTTGCGATGTTTGACTTTTTATCTCGATTTTTGAAATCTCGCAGAAAATGGGAAAGAAGTCCTGTCACAAGCAGACACCCCGATAATCACAAAACCACTTAATAAGCACCAATAACAAAAGCAAAATTCTACTACAACTTTATCAAGGCAGACATGTGATTCTGGCAGACGAGTAGCGGGGTGGGCAGAGTGAGCAAGGGCAAGTTCAAGAGAGTCGAGGCTGTCCGAGACCGAGATCGAATCACAGTTGGTACGCGACGAGCACGGTTGATCAAGACAGCATGAAGGAGTGCAGTAGGAGACGGCTGGTTGAGCAACGGTCTGTCCACCCCCTTCTCCTCAGATATGCTTGTACTTGGTGAACAAAAGGTGGAGCAGACGCAGTGTACTCTGTAACATGAACAAATAAACCTAGGCATCCGTCAGGACCAATTACGGAATTAGGATCGGTACCTTGAGATCGCCGTTGGCAATATCCTGAACACGACTGCGGGGTTTCGGGAGGCCAGCGTCATGCATCAGCTTGAACGCAAACGCAACATTTTTCACCTTCTCTTCGTATGACGACACCTGAATCGCGGCGGCTTTGTTAAGTTTGTATTAGAATATCATCACTGTAAAAAGTAGACTCTTTGCAGTCCCATTGGTACATTGTGTGATGGTCTCGGCGTAGGCTATGGGCTAGATCATAAAAGCGAATGTTCCACTCGCTCGATCGACTATGAAAGCAAGAGGTGTCGTCATTAGCCCGTTCATTAAAATTCTCTCACTATTATACATTTATTTCAGCAACAGAAAAGTGTAATGTTTATCCGAATATTCACCAAGTGCTGAATGGCTAGGAATTGCTATAGCCGAGCAGAACTACGAGTTTCTCACAAGAGCTATCACAACAGTGGGCCCTCACACCACATCAATCGCTTCTTAGAGAGAGTTTGCCAGGGAGCGGTAGTATCTCGGTGTGCGGGGTCCTAAGTATCGATAGTAGAAGTTTCGCGAGCCTTCTGCCGCTTAAGAGTTGTACGGGAGTGGGCTGCAGGTAGTGAGTCCCAGGTGGCGTTTCCAGTTTTTGCGTCGCGTTTCTGAATTTTTTGTAATCGCCTCATAGGCTGGGACAATGGAAGTGGGAGAGTCACACTGATGTAACAGCTGCGTTGGCTATTGGTAGATAGAGACTGTGGGTGTGACCCCGCGTCTCGGAGTCAGAACGGGCCTTCGGGTATCTACACTTCGTCCGTTACCTGCCACTTTCGAGGCGGAAAAAGTAGCACGTTAGTGCCGATGGGAACTCACTGACCTCCATGGCAAGGACCAGTATCTTCGTAACTGACTGCACAGTTTCCCTATGTGGTCACACTTGTGCACTTCCACATTAAAAAAGATCGGTCCTGGTGCTATTTCGTTGCCGGTAATAATCTGGCTCGATATGCTAACCTTTCGCTGCGGTCACTCGCATACAGGATCTCCTACACTATAAAATACCTTTCACCTGAGTGTCGAACTATACCTCTTGCTAAGAAAAGACTACAGCTGAAATCAGCCTATTTGTTGCAAGAGCCTTGATTTTCTTTCAATGCGAAAAGACTGTGGGCTACAACGCATACATACGAGCAAAATCTGCGCATCAAAAACTGGCACACAGATTGCTGCGAACTGTATTGAGAGGGTCGAAAAACTAGAGGAACATCGATATAGTGCCATTCTCCTCATGACGAACAACTCCGCCTTTCATTTAGCTACCCAAGAAAAGAGAACCTTGAAAAAGCAAACAAAGGTATTAACAAATCACCTGTAGGTGGAAGGCATGAAGTGGTACGAAATATCCTTCCAGGAGACCCATCAGAAGAACAAGAAACACGCCATCTTGGAACTGTGTTTCCAAATCAGTCACCTGAACAGTCGAGCAGATTGAAACGAGCAGAAATATGTCAACTGCTTCCTCCGGATATCGAGGCCAGTCTACGCACAACTGCCAACGTTACATTCCTTGCTTGAGCTTGGACCACAAATATCATGGCAGCAAAAGTATGACAAAATCAAGAAGGAAGACATATATCTACTGATATCCAAACGAGAAAAATAAAAGAAAAAATTCGAGCAAAGAGTTGGATTAAGACTTAAACGTTTGAACTTAGCATCGAAATCAGAGAGTAACGAATTTTAGTAGGGCAGAAAAGTGTCACTTGTCTAAACTTGCATACCTCGAGGTTAATCTTGTTGAGATGTTTGTTGCAGAACGCCAACAGCGATGTTTTCACATGAGCCAACTTATCCGGTCCATAATCGAACAGCGTATCAAAAGCGTCTCTCTCACCCTGAATGGACACACTGGAACAAGGGCAAGGGGCGCACAGTGGAACGTGGCGTCATCTACTATACACGTCAGTAGATAGCAATTTATGGAAAGAAGCACCGCTCACCTTCAGACCAAGTTCACCCTGTGTGGTGGTAAGTTGCTCAGTGATAAATTCCGACCGTGCATGTCCTTGATGCTTCGATGCCACCAACATCTGAAAAAGGTCTTAGAAGAACAGGTAGGAACTCCAGGAAAAAATTTTGAAATTTCATAGAAGCGGTGAACTCAAAGAACTGGGACTCAAACAGTGACAACCAAAATGCATACGTTTTTTGAAGTGAATTCACCTTGACTGAGACGTATTCGGGCAGCCGAATCGGGGCTCTGAAGTGTAGTACCATGGCGATAAGAATTTGTAGGATTGCGACGATGTCCTGAAAATTTCACGTTTCAGGTCAGAAAACCTCCTACCATATTCCCGAAAATACGTCCGTTTCTCCCCAAAGACTACCATCGAAGAGGTGGAAGGAACACTCAACCTGGAACAGAAAAAAAAATCGAGAAAATCACCGGAAAATATTTTTCACAAAACACCCCTCCCTCCTCGCTGAAGGTGCTCAACGTGCGATGCGCATTGCTTCAGATGCACTCCTATCTACGAATTAACGACAATAGCTAAGCGGTTGAGGTCGCAACTTAGATGTGGGTTGCAAGTACTACTCGGCCTTGGAGGGAAGGGGGAGGCGGAGACGGTGGAGTAAATGACAATCTGCCAGCTTCACCAGCCACCCTGTTGAAATGCCTGTGAATCCTCATGGTGTTCATTCACATCCGTTTCACGCTCCTAGAAAGAGTTAATAGGTTCGACCAAAGTGAGCCCTGTTAAGCCTACGACTAGGAATAAAACTATAAGTGCTATACGTCCCGTCCCCTATTTTTTTTTTTTTTAAGGGCCAACAACCGTTTCGGCGCTGGACAACATGAAACAAAACCTTGTTATGGATAAGTTCGGCATCCCATCTTGGTTGTTCAGTAGGGCTCACGATTCGATTCACGGTTTGCACGACCAAATCCAATTTCCTCTTTTGTCCTTCTTCAGACTGCGTAACCTCTGCAACGCTCGATCTGAAATCAATTCATGATTGATAAAAAGCAACAAGTCCTAGCAGTAAGTTCACTCGAAATAGTTGTTTATAAATATTTAAACAGGTCCAACATTTCTTTATTTCTTCTTCAGCCAAGAACAGCCAAGCATTCACTGTTCAATCGGAAAGTGCCCTTCCCTCTAAAATGCGGTTTTATCGAACACGCTTCGGACCAAAAACGGCAAAACAATTGTTCTTGTGGTAGTTTTACCTTTGGCAAGGAATTGCTTCAAGGGCTGATGTGGTGTCATGTGGCAACATGGTGTCGCTTACGAGTAGGATATAGGGTGAACGTACGATGATGAAATCCCGAACCAGCTAGCTGTCCTGCAGGCTTTCCATCTCTCAGGGGTCAAATACTGGGCAAAGACTTTCCCGGGAGACAAAAACAGTGACTCTGACATCGCCTAGTCCCTGGATGCAGTGGACACGGTAACTGGGGTGGGGAATTACTTCACATATCTTACTGGTGGAATTGCTAAGCGCGCTGTAGCCAAACGCCTTCTGGCGCCTGTCCCCTCCATGACTGTTTGGCACCTGTTAACCCGTGTCTCCCCCCTTCCAATGGTCATCGCGTGCAAATGACCTTTGAGTCTTTCACAGGACTACGGGTTGTAATCTTAATGCCGAAGAGCGCCGTGACGAAGACAGGTTGCGTGCCGATCCGAAAAAGGTGTCAAGTGGACTCGGGAGAGGAGGTTGAGGATCCTTCCCACGTTCGCGTAGATTCCTTCGCAATCGCTGAAATACTGGCTGGCGATTTTGGGCCGAAAAATTTCTATTTTTACAACTTTTTCGGTCACAGGTGTTAAGAAAGTTCATGTGATGATCACAATATGAACATCTCTGTCGAATTCGTTCCAGAGTTACTGGATTCGTATTTCATCCCTACTAGTACAGAGAGGGGAAACTCTCACTTATTCCCAGAAAAAATGCCATTGTGCCAATGAAAAAATGCAAACGAATTCTCTGTTTTGCCGAATACTGGTTTGTATATAGAGAATGATTTTTAGGGGAACTCGACAAAAAAACGAGCAGTAGGATGACTCACTCGGATACCGGCAAGCTTTTCCATAAGCATCTGAAGAACCTGTCCGTCATAAAGATCTTCCTGGAGATTTCGAACCTGAACGATGTACCATCAAAAGAGGCCAAGGATGGAATCGAGTTGTAGACAAAACTCAATACTCACCACAATTCGCAAATCAGCTAGCTCTTCGTTGATCCAGTAGATCAATAGAGAAATCAATTCTCGAAGCTTAGGATCTTCACTTGACTCCTTGGTTAAGTATCGCCTCATCTCTCCTGAAGGAACGAGAACTGTGGAATTTCATAGAAACCGCTTCCGATCAAACTGATTATTACACCACGTTGCACGTCAAGTGACTTGCAACAATCGTCAATTAGAAACCCAACCAACTGGGAATTGTCTTATCCAAATCGTCCTTCCCGATCGGTAAGTCAGGTAGAACGGGCGAGCCTTCGCTGGACGCCATAACCCTTTGCCCACTCTAGCACGGAGGCGAAGCGAAGTCCTTGTGAGTTAAGCAGGAACACCCAAAGATAACTAGTAAAGATGCAAAATGTCCCTCCCCTCTCCGTTAGAGCCGAACTGCGCTCACTAATGGCTTTGATATTAAAAAAGAAGTCTTCAAAATGGCAGACTTCCCCACCTTCATCTAGCGTGAGATTCTTCGCCATTGCAGGGATCAGGCACGCGTCGATGGATTCACGTCCTTCGATCTCGATCTGAAATGTCTTGAAGTCGACTTCCTACCGTCCACAAGACGTTTATTATTGTCCAAGAAACGTCCTACAACCTCTTGAGCTTCATCTTCCTCGGCAGCTTCAGGGTTTTCATGTCCAGGCTTCTTCTTTCGGGTCAATGTACCAGTAAGCTTATCGACGAACGAGTCATTCTGAAAATCCTGTCTTTCACAGCACATAGTAAATAGAATAAAAATTTACTTAAGAACTCTATGTCAATTCTTTCGGGAAAAGCCATTAGTCTGACTATTACTACAACTGAAGCAGCCGTATACTTGCACTGGTACCATTCTGCCTTTCTTGTTGGACGTGGCTTCACCCTCAACTTATAGGGTTGCCCATCAATGAGTCCGGACAATGGAGGTTACTGATATACATCCATATCTTGCGGACGTCTCCCAAAGCTGTGTGTGAGAGAGTACAGCAGCCTGCTAACTTTCCAATTTGAGGACACTCTCCCATCCACTCCAAAATCTTTATCGTAAAAGACCACAAAATATGAAGTTCTTTCAATTTGTGGTTGGACAGGCACGAACCCGATTTTCAGAGAACAGCCGTCTCTAGCATTTAAACCCATGGAAAAACTTTTTCGAGCTCAGTTCTAAGTTTTGGAAAAGCCATTGGACTTCCAAGTTTCCTAGAAACCTACATGACAGGAATGTCTTAGGCAAATTTGAGATAAGTACCCCAGTTTACTTCTCGATTCGAAGTTGGCCAGCCAACTAAATCGGATCTTTCCTTACTCACAGAGAAGTGGTGCACTAAATATTAGGCCTGGCACCGCCCACAACACCAGTGTGAACTGTGCCTCTAAGTCTACTGTAATGCAGGCATACTGCAGCAAAAATACTGAGCTTGTACTCTACAAAATTCTACTACCGGATACGTTACTAGGTAGGACACTGCCGTTTAGAAGGACAACTGTTATCCATGTCTTTGTCCAGAACTAGATAGAAATGACGCGCGCCTATCCATGCTTCTTATGGTGTGGGGGTTGTACGTTGCATTGCCATTCGACCGAATCTATATGACATATGAGATGCTGGACCAAATGACAGCCGTTTTTACTCTTCATAGTGTCCGTCGGTCCGGGCGTTCTTCTCATTACGGCCGACATCTGAATGGAGAAAATATACGATACAAAAGGAAAGGGGACGGAGGCAAGATCGAGCAGACTGCGGTAATGAACACGGAGAAATTTGACTGTGCGGTAGCGAGAGTGCGAACTATTGACTAAAGCGACATCTAGGCATAATTGTTGGGATAGAAGCATTTCGGAAAAAGAAGTTTAAATCTAATAAAAATCCAACTGAAGAAAAACTAGTTTTCAAGTTAAGGTAAACTTTTTCCGGAACAATCTGTTCATGACTAAAGAATCTCGGAGTTTTCTGTTGTTCATGTTATCTCTACATCTATCTCGAGGCTCTTCTCTTCATCTTGCCACGAGAAAATACAGCACTGCATTTTTTGCATTCATAATTCAGCTGTTCGAGGGGGAAAACCCTTTGGACCCTAAGTTTTCCTTTCTAGGCCACCCCCCGCGAAGGTGGGGTTGTGGCAAGTGGCGCTGCATTTCACGAGCACATTTCAGCGGTTCAGACCACAAGCCAAGAAGTAACTCTCAGTAACTCTCGAGACAATGGTAAGGTTAGGCTGTCCCACGCAGAGGGGCTGATTGTGCGAATGCCTGCATTCATGTGTGCCTCTAGGTCGTGAACAAGCGGTTCACTGAAAGTGTCGAAGGAATTTCCGCCTCACTTATTGTCTGTAAATTTGTATGCCGTAAACAAGTCCTCAAAGTTGTATCCCACTTCACGCGCTTTCCTCAGCCATACTTCACGCCTGTAGGGGAAAATGGCAAAACCGAACAATCTTTTACTTTTTCTGAGGTGTTGGGCCAGTGGTATAGTGGCAAGTGCAGCTGCTAACCAGGTCCACGGCCAGAGGATCAAAGCGCGGATCGCCCCCCGTTTGGACCAACCAGCGATCAGTTCAGGGTCAATCAGTTGATACCAAATTCTTCTTCCGGGAAATTGAACACATTGACTTGTGAAGCGCTTTAAGTCGGGTCTAGAATCATCTAGAGGAGATCATTGAGTCGCATGTATTGAGTGCATCAGGTTGCCTCAGGGTCGACAATCGCAGCGGACCATTTCCTGGTTGAGCACCCTGAGGTTCACGATAACTGCAGGGCTATGCGCCAAGGGAGGTTAACTGATTCCGCCAATAAAAGGGTACGTAGCGTTGCCAAGCTCGCAACGTGGTACGCTTCCCGCAGGAGCTATGTAGATATCGTTGACTTCCACGGCTTCGGTCGTTTTTGTACGTCCTGGGTTCCGGCTCTCCCCAGAGGTTGGGCGGAGGACCAGGGGTAGACATCAAGCCACCGTGCGCAAAATAGTCAAGGCATTTTAGACCGTAGTCAGAAATGTAAAATGGATCGGAGTCGAGACTGATTAGGGATTACGCGAAGACTCTCTCCCAGTATAGGCTCTCCACCTACTGAAGGCTTTTGCTACTGTACTAGTCGCTGCCTGATCTCGTGGGCCTGCTACGGTATAGTATTCCTCCTCTTCCTGACGTTCCGTAATGGATTAAAGGGAACTCAATTATTAAGTAATGGAATAAAGTGGTAATTATTCGGCACGTACTTTATAATCTGTCTTCTTGAGCCTCATGCGTCAGAAGTAAGCAACTTTTGACCGAATCGGTGTGAAGCCGAATCGGGACTGTTTGCGTGGCCATAGAATCACCTAGATTCGAAAACCGTCACAGTGTCTAAGTGCCAAGTGACTACTAGAACTTCATCTTCGATGAAGATTGTTTTGTTTCCTCTTACAGTCTGTAACTTATGTAATGGCGAACTCGATGCGCTTCAACTTCTGTGGCTCCGAAGAAAGTTAAAATCGCTGAGTCCGTACTTGGATAACCCCTTCAATAATTCTCATTTAATTCAGGTCTTTACTACATAGTTCCCCATTAATCTCACATCGAGTTTTACTGATTTTTATTTGGTATAAAAATATAGTTACCACATTAAGGGAGCAGCAGACATAGGCCACCACAGCTCGGAAGAAGCCGCGCGAAAAACTCTTCTTCATTTATTCCTCCTATTCAGACTTCCCGCTTTAAACTGTGACATCATTGGTGAACACACAGTGTAGAGCAAATGGGTCGTCGCTATCGAGGTCACGTGTTACTGAAGCCGAACAGGACTCATTCTCTTCAGAGGTCCATGATTAGTAATCAAAATTGATGTGAGGACGACAGCACTGACTGGAAGACAGGCATTCCCATTATCTTGATGCAGGCAGCAGACGGGAGGACTGTGGCTTTTGCTCGCTTCCGTCTATGGGCCCGGACGAAAGCGGGAAGCCTGATGCCTCTTTTCAACCCCCTCAAAATGTCTCCCTTTCCCAACATAGCATCCAGTGGATTTTAGTCTCAATGTTCGCGAAGTTAAATCCCAGAAGAGACCGCTCAAACCTCCGAAATAAAGTAAAGCATGCGCGCTCTTAGAAGGATCAGATCAACGCCAGTGGCTTTATCCTTTTACCCTCAGTCCACCTACTGATCCTAGGCCAAGAGAACGTCCTGTGCTTTTCCTATTTTCTTCCTTTTTACCATTAGATTACCCACTTGTTTACACTTCAATGGTTTTAAGCGGCCAGGGGTTCCTTGAAGGTCAAAGGTGCATCCAGATATTGACGCATAACTCTGCGATAAGTTATTTGTTGATGTATTGACTGAATTCTGTAAGCTAAAAAGCTTATACTGGTTTATAGCATGTCCATGAAAATTTTAGCCGTTGTAGACAACTATAGTACCTTTAATTTAACTCAATATATACAAAACGAAGAACAAAAAACAAGATGTAACAATCTAGAAAGAACGCGACTTGTACTAGCTACATTAGAAAAACTGCTAACACAGCTAGACGGGTAAAAAAAATCGGGAAAATTCCATCAGAAATCGAAAAATCGGATACGGGAGCAGCTATACATGAAATCAATCGATGATCAGATAGATGATAGCAGAACGGTGTGGAATCCGTGGAAAGCACACTATACAACAGCTGTTGTGTCGAGAAATGCGGGGGTTTCAACTCGGCATTACACCACTGGTGCCAACGATCGATACCAAACACTTGGCGGCGACCCCCCAAATGTTTGTGGACCGCCCCAACTGGGCTATGCATTAACACAAAGCGCTCACCCATAAACCCAGCGCATACTATTGCTGTAACTGACTGTAGTACTGTTTAACAACTGCTGGGAAGGACGACGTTACACACACAGGAACAGCAGCGACATTTTTGAGACCAAGCGGCGTCGTCGTTGGGGATCCCCAGGTAGGAGGGGGGGGGGGAGCTAATTTGCTTGCTGGAGGGAACAGGGGTTATGATAGAGACATTTCGGCTGTTTTTGATTTTCGTTCGTTGGTTTTATCGGTTTTCCCTGTTTCCTACCTAAATCGTTGAGAGACTCCCATTGGAGGAGCGAGGAAATCATGTTTTTGGAGAAGTGATCTATTTCCGAAATAAAAACTCCGGAAAAGGTTCTATCGGGGGCGGAGGGATTAAGCGCTTGATTTTTTGGAGCAAAGAGGTGTCCTGGAAAAAAAAGCTGGAGAACTGATTCCATTGGGGAGGGGTCGTTCTTATGGGGAAAAAGTGGTGGAAGCCGTCTGAAGGGAATTCTCACGAGGATCGCTTTTTGCGAGAATCCCCAACGACAGGACGTACCCTGTTCGGGCTTTTCCAATCAAATACCTTTCCACGCACTTGAAGAGATGAATTTTTTTTGTTGTAAAAGCTTTCACATTTCACAGACGATTTTTATGAGAAAAAAAGCTTCGAAATTGGTGTTTAGTCGAGATCCCCATTCACCGGAAAGTTTTTTGACAAGAGGAAACATCTCAACGCTATTGTCAGAGATCAGGACTGAGCCATAGCTTGTGTCATGCCAGCATGATGAGCAGTTTTTCGCCGTTAACAGAACAAAACTTGATTACCACCCCCCCCCCTTAGGCTTTTTTCAGGCAACTTTCGCAAGATAAATCACTGACGGTTAGCGCCAAAAAGTGGAAGCCATAGTGGATGATTACCATCTTTGTCTAACAGCGTGGGATTCAGGACATTGCGTATTTAGCACAATTCGCGCCGAACAGGCCTGCGTGATTCTAGTCACTCACCATATCTGAGATCAGTGGTGGGTGTGACGTGTAACCACATTCGCACCGGTGGGACACACAAGCCCCTTACCCATTAAATAGCATTCATACTAAATATACAGTTCATTGCACGTGGACTGAAACACTGCCAGCGCTTTTCACGTCCGACAATCAACAGGCTCTGGTGCAAATGACGTGCATGTGACACCACTTTTACGAATATTTCGCTTCCTCTACAATGTGCTGGACTGCACCCAAGGCCTAGACCATGCCAACTGGGGGTAGGGGAGGTGCTGCCTACCACGCGCGAGGGAGAGTGCGGCCGAACTCCCTTTCACAAGTAGCGCTGACGACGTCTCTCCCGTCCTCCAGCAATCCCTATTAAAAAACTTATGCTTTCAATTCTGCGAGCCAAAATTCTCCAAGAAGCACTTCTCGTGAAAAGGAATTACAGTTTTCACGAATGATCTAGTTCCGCTGTCTCTATATATTATCCGATAAAGCAAATTTTCAGCATTTGGTCCGTTTTCACATTTTGGAATGTCGCCTATTTCTGATTGTACTTTAGAGAGAACATAGACCACTAAATAATATTGATTTTACACATATACAATCGATAATCGACTTCTGCATGCAGCACGGACGAAACTGCCTGAAGTGTGAAAGCAGCCTGAACAAAGCAATCAGCAGTAATATATAATATTAACTTTATTATATGACTGAGAAGAATGTACGATGCAAGAGACCACACCACTCAAAACACTTTGTAACGTCCTGTCGGTCCGCCTCGCTGCATTTGTGCCGTCTGAAATCAAAGCATTTATGAAGCTAGGATTAAAATTTAAAAATTAAATCAAAAAGTAGGAAAGATAGAAACTGATTACCAGTTGTCGGAAAGCATCCTTCATTATGCGAACGATCTCCTCCTTGGCACATTTCAAATTTCTCTCGTGTCGAGCTTCCAGCAATAAATATAACTTCCTTTCTCCGTCTTTTGGTTCTTTTCCTGGCGGGTAATGTGAACCTTTTACTGAGATTCCAACATCGGCAAATTCCGAAATATGACCAAGAGACTCCTTAAACAACTACTCTCAGGAGCTAATTAATAACACTTAGTTAGGCAGGAATTTATAATATTTCAAGGCGAATATCTAGCTGGTCAATGAGAACACCAACCCGACTGCAGACGCGATACCGAACTTGCTGTGGGAAATCATTTATATCAAGCTCTTCTTCGAAGTACTGCCACTCTTCTTCTTGATTCAGTTCTGGCATTGCATCACCTGAAAACGGTTGAAATCATTTCCAACAATGTTGCGCGCAGGCACGCTCCGCTGGGAGCATATCAGGTCCTCCGTTCAGGTCATCTAGTCACATTAGGTTTCAGCTGCTGATTAGAGTGATGCCAAGAGCTACTCCCAATAGGAATGATCAGTTTATAAAGAATTTATCCGTGACCTTCTCACTCGGGTGGTGCCGTAAAACCATTTCAGCGTCGGGTTTTGAAGAAGTTTCAGCTTTTCTGAGTCATACATTCAAAAATTTGTTTGGCTCAATAGCATCCCTCGAAATGCAGTGATTTAGAAATTTAGTTGATCAAAAAGATACAAAATGATCAGAATAACTTTACCACACATGTGCAGAGACCCCGCAGCGAAATATAGCGCTTGCGGTCAGGTGATGAGCTGACCTCTCGGGCGACTTGCATAACTCTACGCTCCAAGTTCAGGTGTCTTTTTCTCTACAATCGTTGTCTCTATTATGCTATTCAAATATACAGGGGGGGGGGCAAAAAAAAGTCACTTCGACCGAGTCACATATCAGCAAAGTTTTCGCTGCCCAGACAGAGGACGTGGATACGAGTACCAGGGCGGAAGATACCCAAGATGTTCCTCTATAAGCAGGAGCTGGCTCTCGCCCATCACCTTCATGTACACCAAAATATGAAGTCATCTCCAGTCGCAGCCTGACTGGAGAAGACCTTTGGAATTCATGTCACCTCCAAACAGCTGCGAAACTTCTAGTATGGAGTCACCCATGGATAGCTACCTGGAGACCAGTACTCTCGATCTGGATGACCTCCAACATCGAGCAGCTCCGACAACGTCGCCACGGTCTAGGACATCATCTTCACCAGTCGCCAAGGCGCGGGTTGATGGTATGGACCGGACGTATGGAATGGAAAGACCAATATTTTCTTCGTGGACCCCGGACTGAAGGTGAGCGCTGGCGGTTACATTGAGCAACTCGTGAAGAATATCCTCCTCACATGTCGTCGTACCTTCTTGGAAACTTTGTACTGCTACAGCATTGGGTGCCACCACATGGAATCGAAGGGCGTTGGAGAAACTCTCGCCTACTTGGAATGGAAGGGGCTGAGTACCTAAAGAAGATGGAATATCCAAGTAGGTCACCTGACCTGAATCCCCTCAATTACCCGGTTCGGGCGGAGTTCAATAGGGTGGTCTACGGTGGCGGAGAAATCGACTATCTCGCTGATCTCAGGCACCACATCGCGGTCGCGTGCCAGAATCTCTCGATGGCGCTCGTCCAGAAGGCTGTGGCGGAGTGTCATGATAGTATTTGATATGCTCTTTAATATGGTGGTAAAAATGTCCGATCAGAATTTAATAAAGTGTAACTTATAGCGCCTCGAAAGTCAATGAAGAAAAGTGACTTTTTTTGCCCCCCCCCCCTGTATGTGAGGAAAGTGCAACCCGCTCGCGACGAACCCTCCATCTCGCCCACTGGCTACCGCGACGCCCAACTTACAGCTTGAGTTTCTTACAATTTGAACTTGATTTCGATAGGCTTCCTGGTGGTAGTGCGGTTGTGCGCCACTAACTCCCTCAAATTTGAATGGTTAGAGGGAGATGATAAGGAGAAATAGCCGGCAGCAACAAGTGGGAACTCGTCCGACCAAACCCATCCTTCGCCTTATGCACGCACACGCGCTGTTCAACATGGCGATCCATATGGGGCAGCTCGGGCGGTTTTTCTTTGCTTTCTCTTCTTTGCAGTGTTATGTAACACCTTACCACTAGCATTTGAGCCGCGCAACCCATCATTTTCGAACGCGGGGCGAGCCTTTGCGATGGGCAGAGATTCACAACCATTGTGCTCCTCTCGCGCTGAATTTGCTAAGACACTGTTCACAGCTGGCGTCGGCACGACAATCAGAGAATCGAAGAATTTAGCGCACCCGCGGAATGTTAGATGATTATCGATTGGGAGTCGACAATCCCTACGTTCCCCGGTTGGGCGAGTCCGTAGAATCGATATGCATCTAACGCTTTTCAGCAATTCTCCCATGCTCGAACTTTCTCAGTTGACAAGTATTTTTTGCCGATTCTCTGACTCGCCAAGGTCGCAGACTGCGAATAGTGCCTGGTAGAGTACGAGCGCACTATTGAACGTCTCAGGAAATCAGTCAACCCCAAAGCTTCCTCCTCCCTTTTATTCTTCTCCTGCCTTCTCTTCCTTCCCTTCTTTTCTCTTTCCTCTCTCTTGTTTTCCTCCCTTTGAATGCTCGCTCAGAAGATGCAATGAGGAACCCTCTCTCGACCCTCGCAGCGAAAGAGCGAACGAGGCGAACGCGTTCGCGCAGGAGCCCTATAACTCCTATTTGAGAGAGAGCACAGTAGTAGTGAGATTGAGGAGCCGATCCGCGATGCCTTTATAGCCAATAAGGGCGGCTTTAACAATATTGCGCTGTGCCTCACCCTAGATAATGAGTTTTTCGTTCAATTTGTCTGCCAGCTGTTTGGCAATCATCTTTGACGTCATCTCTATGGGAGCCATATCTCCACCCTGAAGAAGAGATCATCATGAAACATTAGAACTAGATCGTCGAAATTCTTACCCTCATGATAGCTTCAGCTGCCTTTTGAGCAGCATCTTTTTCAGCGGGAGCGTTGAGGTTTCGAAGAGTTGCAAGCTTCTCTGCCAATGCCTTCGCTTTTGCTACCTGGAAGTCACTTCGATATTACAACCAACTTGGTAATAACATTTGAATATTTGAGCTCATGCACAAAAGGAATGGATGACGCTATGACGCTCTCGCCACTAATCAATCCCTTTCTGGGACGCGGCACACATTGTGGCCCCATCCAAAACCGTACTGACTTGCTGGATGCGATTTGAGCTACATTACGAACGGTGGAAGTCAGCCAAGTGGCAAGTTAGGGTATCATTTTCCCAGACGAATCTGGTATCAATTCAACGGCCCTGGACGACATAAGGCTTATTTGGCCTGGGCGGAAGCTCATATGGAGTTTGAACCCCGGACCTACGTGTTGTGAAGCTAGTCACTTGCCACTCCAAGACCTCCATACTACACCAAAATAAGAAGCACCTCACCTTATCCTCAACATCGGAGGTCTTTTTCGACGAGCCCTGACCCAATTGTCCTTCTACAACCCTTCGTTTTAGTTTGATCAGCAATGTGTAGCTGCTCATCCATTCAAATCATTCTTCATGGCGCCTCATGCTCTCCATACCACATACCTGAATAAAGGGAGCTTCTTTCCAAGAAAGAACATTATTTCGAAAAACTGAACCAACCAATCGCGTCATCTTCTTCTTCGTCGCTTCAGCTTCTGCCTCCTCCTCGTCATACTTGAAACCACTTCCAGCGAAACTTGAAATAAAGCAAAAGTCAACACAAGATAGCCTAATATGGACGGCAAGTTACTCACCCGTTTCCACCCAACATGACGTCTATGCCTTGCTGCCGCCTTTCCTCTTTGAACTATTCTCAAACATAGCTCTTCAGTTCTGACAGGCGCGTTTGCGTCCTGCAGTTTCAAAAGCACGACAAGACTCTCTTCGCTGCGCATACGCTCACTGATCTAAAAAATAGCATGATAGAGAACGCAGAAACACCATACAGCGGCTCCGCGAAGAATTAGAACTGACTGCAACGCTCAATCAAGTGAATCTTGACTTCAAACATGCCTGACTACCTCTCTGTGTGAAGGTACAAACCAAACACACATAAAAAATATGAATGGGCACTACTGAAAATACCTACGGGCCCCAAAGAACTGAAGAAAAATCGGCCAGACTTTTACTATGCGGGTTTTCTTGGTGCGAGACAGTGACCCTTCCTCTGCTGGGGCTAACCTGGCCTGAAGGAAATCACTCTTTCTCCCAAGCTCAGCCTTAGCACAGGGCTAAATGGCCTATGGCGCCAAAAACGAAAAAAAAGAAAAAGTTGTTGCAGGCGTCAGGCGGCCTCGGGCCAAGCAAATGCGTACATGTTAAGAGGTATCAAATCTACGCCCCTGGAAACAAATTTGCAGCCAAATATTTGCTCACGAAGAAGTGGGTTACAAGCTGACTCGATTAAGGGAGATTAGGGTAGTAATAGTTCAACAGCGCCAAATAGAAAGTGTCCCTTAGAAATGAGAATCCACGACTTCAGCAAGGCCATGAAACCAAAACCAATTTATCTCAGAAAAGCTTGTAGAGGAAAAAACCTACGTTCAGGTAGAAATAAACGGTTCACGGCCGCTAACTTTGTTCCCTGCACGACCTGTTCTGCCAACCTGAAATCTTTTTCATAAACAAATAGTACAACACATCCGAAAATACTGTCGGAATTGTAATTTGGCATTTCTTCCAGTGGCTGAAATGTATCACTCTTGATAGGAAACCCTCCCCCCTGAAAGCACATTCGGGCTATAGTATCCAGTTGTGACATGGATGACTGATGACTTACCAGCCTAGAAAAAGGGGGGACAAAACCGTCAAAGATGTCTCAATTAAGGTCCCAAGAAAAAACTGTGTATTCCAGAAAGGGGAACAGTGGTGTCCGTATAATTGGCCAGAGATAAAGGCTTCAAAAGAAAAAGAGAGTGTGAAGACGACATGGTCTCTGTCGCCCAGAAACAACTGTAACGCCTCACATCCGATGCTCACGACGACGGGACGCTGTCCCCCCATGGATCATCTAAGAACCGATGTCCCAGGTTGGGTGTGGCACCTTCTGGGAATAGATTCGGTTTTTGGCGAACTCACTACCGAGAAGCGAAAATAAACCTGCCTCTAGTGCATTCGTCTCCAGACTAATTGCACAAAAAAATGTCACCACATCTTCGATCGAGAGAGTGTTGTCTACTTAGTAATCGGAGGTTGTGTTAGTTCGTCCTACTGAGAACGGCAACATGAGTTGCCTTGCTGGCATAACCAATCCCGTATCTATCAACAAATTTAACCCTCAGCTGTGCATTTTCAAAAAAAAAAACCTTTTTTATAAAATTACGTACCCTGTGAACGTAGTCTTCATAATGGTTGGGACAGTCATAATTGACAACCAATATAAGATTCTTTACATCAAGACCACGAGCAGCGACAGAGGTAGCAACCTGAAAGGGCACTAAGCTGGTCAACATCTCGATATGAACAAAAACGAGAACACACCAGAAATTCTGGAATAAACAATTCACTTACCAAAATTTTGATGGTCCCATTTTTGAAATCAGTGATCGTAGAGTCCCTATCGAACTGATCTATTCCTCCATGAAGAGGGGCGCAAGAATATCCATTTCGCATCAATTGGGCAACGATGTCGTCAGCCTGGGATATAACAAAATAACACCTTTTACTTTGATTATTGATTATGAGATTAGATATCACTCCCACTTATAGTCTTGTTCGCTGCGGATGATGGGGCGTGTCAGGGGGATGTGTTTGGCGCGGCGCCAGCTTGCTTTCTCGTTTTGGGCGGGTGACAGGATGGTATCATATCGTTCGTGCCATTTGTTTCCCCTAATGTTGCCGCCTACCCCCTTCAACAATTGTTGAAGAAGGAGGTGGCGGAGTGCCAAATTCAACTTTACGGACACGCCCCGTCATTCGCAGCGAACAAGACGGTAATCCTGACCTAACCCAATTCATACCGATCAACAGTAATTCATGGTTTGACTCCATCGAGCAGACCGTACCTTTTCTTGTTTATCGACAAATACAAGCACATTTCCCTCTTCATAGTACATTCCCAGTAGCTCGAGGAGTTTCAGCAGTTTCTGATGTTCTTCACAAATCACGGCATTCTGCGTCACATCAGCACAAACAACACTCTTGCCTCCAACCTAAGAAAACGAAGCGTATACAGAATCAAGGAAAGTGAATCGAATTGATGCCGACCTGTATTTCAATTGGTTTGTCGAGTATTTTCCTCGCAAGCGCTTCCATCTGGCGTGGGAAAGTCGCTGAAAACAATACGGTCTGTCGATCTGGACGGATGTTGTTGATAATTTTCATGACCTGTAGAAACAATATAAGGAATACTCAAAATAGCTACTATGCAAGAAGATGTAAGCGACTACTAATAGCTCCAACCTGTGGCTCGAAACCCATGTCAAACATCCGATCTGCCTCGTCGAGGACAAGATAGGTGACTCGTCGCAGGTTGGTTACTTTTCCTTGAAAACTTTTTATTATCGTTGATGCGACAATTACAAGAGAGTAGATGCAGCACAGGTGCGTTACTTGCTAAAAGCTGGAAGGCGATGTGTCACCTAACACATTGAAAAAAGGAAACATGTGTTCTTTTATTATCAGTGGCCTATTGGGACACGTCATTAACGGTTTATGTGACGTAAATGGCATCTATCCCTTAACAGGTAACGTACCGAACCTTACACCTGTCCTACATCAGAACATACATTACTTCAAAGCTCTGGTATGCGGTAGGCGTGGTCGCGTACTACATTTAGACCGCATTCACACTTTGCGTCTTGAGATTCGGCGATTAGGAGCACTCTGGGAGGCGATTTGAGTGATCGTGCACGAAGAGAGCATAGGTATCGATCTTGCGAATAGGGAGATTGAGCAATTCGGCGATATGGGAGACTTGGCGTTGCCGGCGAATGCGCGCCAAAGGGTGGATGGGTACTAGTCGGCGCCGGTCGCTAGTGATTGCAGATACCGGGCGATTGAGACACTCGACGATCTGGCGTTTTGGGAGATGGCCGGATCGTCGAACTGGTGCCGACTGATACCCATCCACTCCTTTGACGAGTAATCGCCAGAAACGCCGAGTCTCCCAACACACGAGATCGCTCAATCTCCCAATCGTAGGCTACCATTGCTTTCCCCGTCGCGCAATTGCTCAAATCGCCAAGTTTTCCACATCGTCTTTTCGTCTCAGTCGCGAAGTATGAACGCGCCCTTACAAATGGC